TACCTCCTGAGATCATCCCCTAGATAAACTACCTGCACCTACATCATGGCATTGGGGTCTGTTTTAGGTGTAATCCAATCTAGAGGAGTTAAGAGACTATGAATTCTCATATATCCAAGAATATGTTTATTGTGACTTCCCAATCAAGGGCAAGTTGGCTGGGTATATGTGTAGAATTTTAAATTTATAATGAAATATGCTGCTCTAATTTTTGCTAATGTTGTGGAAAAGACTACAGAAAACAGATTTGTTTTCTGTTAAGGGATTTTTCATATTCTTAAACATTTCATGAAGCTATGTGTAGACATAAAAATGTTTTTAATATTTTTGCCCGGTATCTGGGGGCCCATGCTGATTATGTTAGGTCTATTAAATAGGTTGAGCGGGTTCTTTTGGTTCCCCTCACCTAGGTGCTGTTAGGATCCTGCCCTGGGCCAGGCAATGTCATCTACACCCCCAGTTTATCAGCCTTGCAGTGTCCTTCTAGTCACAAGAGGGGAGTCCTTGTTTCTTTTCTATTTCTTTTCCTGCCACACTGAGTGTCATCTTGTCCATCTGCTTTTCTGGCGGGCCCTCCAGAGCAGCTACACAATACCATTCTCACACAAACGCTGATGCCTTGTCACTTTTTGCCACATTGAAACTTAGGCTTTCCTGTACCAAAGATTTTAAAGGTTTCTGGTATTCAATAGCAAAAAGATCAGAGGGGTGTGTTTCCATTTTCCCAAAGGCTAACGGTGTCTACCTGTGGCCTTCTCACACCCACTGTCTTTGTTTAGAAACTCCTTGTCCAGAGCATCTGGGAGGATCCTCACCGTCCTCTTTTCCCCCGGGGCCAATGATGATATGGGGGTGGAAAATGATGCTGTCTCCCTGAGCTTCAAGAAGGAAAAATTTTGCTGAGTGTCCTATGCTCTAGGGCAGTGATTTTCCACTGATGTGTTGTGGCACACTGGTGTGCATAAGAGGATCTTAGGTGTACCTCAAAAGTTTTAAAGATCATTAACTAAATTATTTTTGAAAGAAGTTCTAAGCACAGTTAAGTATATTCTTTTTTTTTTTAATCAACATAATGTAAGTGTGCTATGGAAGTTTAACTATAGGTTCAAGTGTGCCATGAGATAAAAGAGTTTGAAAAATATAGCTCTAAGGCACCCCCACTTCCTCCCACCCCCTAAATCAGAGCAAAGCCAGCTCTGACCCCTCCTAGATCACCCCTGATGCTCCCTCATGCTCTTCTGCTAAGAGCTGTCCTCCGGAAAATCACACTCACTAGGCCTCACAAAGCAAGGAAGGGATGGGGACGTGTATGCAAATTCCCTGGTGTGTAGTAGATGGTCAAAAATGCTACCTCCCTTCCTCTGAATAGTTGTAGATCTAAGGATATGACCAATCTATGTAAAAGATAGTCATCACATTATTATCTAAAAGAGAATGAAAAACTGGAAATAATCCATATAATAAGAGGAATTTGTAGGTAATCCATAATATATGCACAAGGTGGAATATTATATAATCTCCAAGCGAAAAAGGAAAGCATGGTGAAGGGAAGCAAAGCAAGACCTGAGAGGCCACTTTATCAAATGATACTGCCAAGGCCTATACACTGACAGTGGGGCCAGCTCTGAGATTTCCAGCAGCCAATAAAGAGAATAAAACCTCACCTCATCGGTCACAAGGAAAGAACAAACCAAAATTCTGGGGGAAAGCATGGCTATCTCTAAGTCTGAGGCTAGAGAAAAACTTCTCCCATGGGGCCTGGGTGAGTGACATCTCTGTAATGCCACCAGCTACATCCTTTCACTCACCACAGAGACAAGTTCCACTGATCCGGTCCCTGAGTAAACCCTTCTTCCCCAACCCACCTTCCCACTCAACACAGGGAGATGGCCTTCCGCCATGAAATTCTGTAAGAGAGATTCTGTGGGTGGCCAGAGATACAAGAACCCTGTAGATTCTTGGTTCTCTCAGGGCTGGTCTTAATTCAGAGAGAATTCTTAGGATCTAGAAGGTAGATGGAAAGCATGCCCTTCCTGCAGTGTTTAAGTGCTTTCATGGCTTCCTCCAACCCCTGAGCTTCAGAAATCTATCAGGCAGCAGAGACCCTGAGATAGCATCTCAAAATGTTATTGGAGCACCATTATTCTGGGCTTCTTTGTACATTTTAGTTGCCCCTAGGAGATTTGGCACAATCCTATCAACTGTTGAGGCTGGCAGGACATGTGCCTGAACAGAGGCTGTCCACTGACTCAAATTGTGCCCAGTGCACAGGTGGGCAGAGTGAAGTTTCTGAGACTGAGACACTGCAGTCCAGTACTGTAAATGCTGTGAACACCCACCCACATGAAGGAACCACTGGGTACGCTGGCGTCTCCTTGGTCCACCCCCTTCCCTGCAGCCTATCTAGAGGCCTGTCTCTCCTTCCCAAAGGTAGTGAATGGAGGGAGATTGTGGGACAGCAGAGAATCCCCGCTCTTTTTCTTTGAATTAATTTCAATTCATTCAAATAAATTAATGCACTCGAACATACTCACTCAGTTCATGGAAATGGTTACCTCAATTCACTCCAAAATGTCAGGAATAAATGAATATGCCAAAGTATTGGCTGAACCTCTAATAGAAAATATCAAGTGCGTCATGAGTGATAACAAGCAAGATAAGCAGTGATGTGTCCTTATTTCTTGTTTATCAAAACAACTATCAACATAAACCTGGAATTCTCTAGAACAGTGGTTCTCAACCTTCCTAATGCCTGCTAATGCCATGACCCTTTAATACAGTTCCTCATGTTGTGGTGACCCCCCAACCATAAAATTATTTTCATTGCTATTTCATAACTGTAATTTTGCTACTGTTATGAATCATAATGTAAATATCTGATACGCAGGATGTATTTTCATTGTTACAAAGAGGTTGCCACCCACAGGTTGAGAACCTCTGCTCTAGAACATGTGTGTGCGACAAGCAGTGACTGTACTATCTCAGGGAAAGGGACAGACATAAAGCCACGGGGAGAGGGTTCTGTGAGTGAGCCAGGGCAGAAGACAGTGTGCAATATAGACACTCCTCCAATACTCTGTGGGTGTTTGGGGCTTCTTTGTTGGTTGTACCAAACATATTTCCTATTACCACAAAGGAAATAATTCTAAATGACACTCCATCCAAAGGGGCAGTCTTTATAGAATCATTGCATATTACAAGCTATGATGCAAGTGGGAAGCATACCAGACAGAACAGAGGCTCTCTATAGGGGATGACCCCTTACCTTCTGCCACATGTTGATGAAGAATAGCTCCCGGGAAACATTGAAGGACACGTTGGCATCATAGGCATCATCCCCCAGGTTGGAGATGGAGATGTTTAGGGAGATATTCTTCACAGCCCCCAAAGCTAGATATGGGGTTTTCTCATCAATACTGCAATGAAAAATAAGCAACAATTAATGTCCCAAAGCCTATACTAATGTAACAAGAGGCATCAGGGGGTAACTGAGGGTGGGTGGCAGAAACTGAGCTCTGAACTACAAGTCCCAAGAGCCCCATTGACCAGCCATGTGTCCCTGGGTGATCACTTAGCTCCCGTGGGCCTCAGTTTCCTCCTCTAAAACACAGGATTCTCCCTTGCCTTAGTAATTTGACTGTGAAGTGGCTTATATGAAATCTTTTACATCAAACTTGAAAGACTATTTGGCATCTCCAAGACCATGGTTGGAAATAATTCAGACATTAATTTATTCATTAAGTTGTTTTTGAGCGTCGACTACATGCCAGTCATGGCATGCTAGAGAAGGAGCAGCAAACAGTACTGAGTCCTTGCAGCTTCAGGAAGACAGAAAACACAGTTATAAAGAAGCAGGCTGTAGCCAGGCATGGTGGCTTATGCCTATAAATCCCAGCAGTTTGGGAAGCTGAGGTGGGAGGATTGTTTGAGGCCAGGAATTTGAGACCAGTCTGGGCAATAGCTAGACCCCCCTTCTCTACAAATAAAAACAACAACAACAACAACAACAAAAAAATTAGCTGGGTGTGATGGCATATACTGGTAGTCTCAGCTATTCTGGAGGCTAGGGCAGTAGAATTGCTTAGGAGCTTTAGAGTTGGAAGCTATAGTGAACTATGATGATGCCAGTGCTCTCTAGCCTGAGAAACAGAGCAAGACCCTCCCTCAAAAGTAAGTAAATAAATAAATATTTAGCAGCAGAGTATGATAAGAGCTTTGGAGAAAACTTACAAAGGACAAAGAAGATAGAAAAAGTACCATATCTGGAGTGGAAGTAAGATGCAATTTTAAATAAGATGATTTGAAAGCCTCCCTAATGCAGGGTGACCTCTTTGTAGAATCTTCAAAAAGGGAGTTAAAAAATGAAGATATCTGGAGAAGTGAAGGAAGTATGAAGGAAGAGTCCCTGAGGTAGGCACATGGCTGGCATGTTCCAGGTATGGCATGCTCCAGTATGACTGGAGGGGAGTTATCAAGGAGGAGAATGGAAGGAAATGAAGTCACAGAGGCCAAGGGAGTGGAGGCAGGCAGATCCCACAGGGCTTTGCAGGCTATCATAAGGACCTTGCTTTGACTCTAGGTGAGATGCCGGCACCTGCAGGGCTGTGAACAGTGGAGTAGCCTGACTTGACAGCCATGTTTAAGGGAGGCTCAACTGGCTGTGAAGTGAACAATTTGAGAAATGCCCAGGAGAAAAGCAGGGAGCCTGTTATGAAACTCTTGAAATAATCCAGATGAAGAAGATGAAAGCTCAGACCAGAGTGAGAGCAGCTGAGGTATAGTGAGAGATGATGTCATATTCTGGATATGCTTCAGAGGTAACACCAAGAGATTTTTCTCATGGAAGAAGGTGCTAGGAAGAGCAGAGTCGAAGATGGCCCCAGGGTTTTTGGATTCAACAACTGAACAGAAGAGTTGTCACTTACTGAGATGGAAAATGCTGAATAGGGAAGTTTCAACAAAGAAAATCCAAATGCCTATTGGATTTTAAAGGAATATTGAATGGCTGGCATGGAGGCTCACTCTTGTAATCCTAGTACTCTGGGAGGCCAAGGCAGGTGGATCATTTGAGCTCAGGAGTTCTAGACCAGCCTGAGCAAGAGTCTCTAAAAATAGCTGGGCATTGTAGTAGGTGCCTGTAGTCCCAGCTACTCGGGAGGCTGAGGCAAGAGGATCTCCTGAGCCCAAGAGTTTGAGGTTTCTGTGACCTATGATGCCAAGGCATTCTACCAAGGGTGACAAAGTGAAACTCTGTCTCAAGTAAATAGATAGATAGATATTGAGGCAGCTGGATGAATGAGTCTAGAGTTGAAGAAGGGGTCTGGGCTAGAGATATATATTTGGAATGGACTAGACTTGATCATTAGGGAATGAGTGTAGAGACAGAAGAGGTGTCACATTTAGGAACTGAAGATTAGGAAGCAGCCAGAAAAGGAAATGAAAAAGAGAGGCTGGGGAGGTAGGAGGAAAACTAAAAGGGATGGTACTCAGTGGTCACGGAAGACACATTTCAAGGAAGGCAAGATCACTTTTGTCCAACAGGGCAGATAGGTCAAAACAACATGAGGAATTAGAGCTGGCATTTGAATCAGTCATCCAGAAGTTACTGGTGACCTTGATAAGAATTGCTAAAGTGGAATGATAGAGGTAAAAGCCTGATTGGAGTGGTTTCAAGAGATGTAGGAGGAGAATAAATGGAAATAGGGAGTACAGAGAACTATTTAGAAATTCCTCTGTGGCTATTTCCATTTTGCAGTGAAATAAGAACACAGCAAAGACTAGGAGCAGGGGAAGAGGGCTGAGCGTATACAGGGCAAGGAGATGGAGGGAAATGGCAGCCCAGGAGAGTGGGTGAGCAAACGAGTTAAGGATGAGGATGGTGATGAGCCTGAGGGTGACAATGAGGAAGATGCACATGAGATTGATGACAATTATTATATGATGTGAGCTTTAGACAAAG